AAAAAAAAAAAAAAAAAAAAAGATAAAAATGATAAGATTGATTTTGAGTACATAGTGCTATGATATTAAATTGTAAATTAGAAGGATGTAAGACCTTATAGTATGTTAACATTTGGAGGTGCTAGTGTTTAATATCCTCCTTCTGTGGACAAATTACCTCCAAATTTTAATCTGGAAAATCTCTGAAATAACTACTAGGAAAAGATTTACAACTAAATGGCTTTTATATTTTTACTATTTGTGTTAGAATATCTATACAAATTGTTCAAATTTTGGTTATAAAAGAAAAACATATAAACACATATTGTGTCCGTTATTACTGTGATGTTATTCCTGTATTCAGTTTTATTCAATCATGGCTACACAGCAGAAGTTTGTAATGTATTGCTGGATTTTATTTTGCTTTATTAGCTCCTCAAGAGTTACTGATCTGTGAAATGGCAGAGAATGGAAAAAATTGTGACCAGAGGCGTGTAGCAATGAACAAGGAACAACATAATGGAAATTTCACAGGTAAATTTTGATGGTTTGGAGGGAGGAAAGCTACGGGTTTAAATTATACACTTTTCATTAGAATAAAATAGAGATATATTACTTCTTATATTTTTAATCTTATATTAATATCTTCTTAGTAAATTAAATTATGGGTCAGGGTCTGTAAGGTGATTTTTCATAGTGATGGCAGAAGCAACCTGGCCACAATCACATAAGCAATGTTCTAGGTACAAGATTATTACTTGTTAATCTTATGGTATGGTCAGTGTTTATTTGGCTTTGCCCAGTGTTCAATTTTATTGTGCTATTTTGTAACTCTAGAAGTAGCTTATAAACTTATTGCACTATTCTTAAATATACAGTTATCAAAAAAGTTAGAATGTGAATATTATTTTAAAATTATAGCTTGAGATAAACTTTTATTTTAACCAAATTGGAATTTGTGGTAAATTTCAGTATATTTGACTCCTGTTTATAGAGTTGTCCTGAAAATGATGACTTTTATTAATATGAATGATTTAAGTAGAAACTTTCCTTCATGCCTTTAAAGGAAAATGAAAAAAAAAGTTTTTCTTTTCTGGTAATCATACCTTTTTTTTTAGTCTCTGAATTGTTTGACATCTCAAACACTTTGCAAATAATACTCTAGTGTGATAATATTATCACAGAAATTCTTTTCTTTTAGAGGAAGTGCAAGCTATCTGAAATAGTAGTTTTCATTTGTTTGTTTTGATTACCATATTGCCTTGCAGAGGACATTTTCCAGCACTGATCTGACCTTTGGGTTACTTTGATTATCAATAAACTTGGCAATTTCACCAAACATTTTAGGATTTGGAGATGGGCGTGCCATGTATCGTAGTGTCTTCCCATTAGGAGCTTTTGTGTGCTATTTTTTTCTTTCCTTTTAGCAAGCACATACATTTGTATATTCTTCCTCTACTGCTCACCACATTGGAATTTAAAATTAACGTTAGCATATCATACTTACTCTTCTGTACAGTGTGTTTTTTACTTAATATTTTAGAGATTGTGCTATAATTATACAGGAAAAACTTATTCTTAGGCTGGGTGTGGTAATTCATGCCTTTAATCCCAACTATTTGGGGAGGCCAAGACAGGAAGATTGCTTGAGCCCGGGAGTTTGAGACTAGCCAAGGCAGCACAGAGAAACCTGATTTCTACAAAAAATTTTTAAAATTTGCTGGTCATGATCATATGCCGGTTTACAATGTATACACATTTTGTGCCAGGTCCAGTGGCTCACGCCTGTAATCCCAGCACTTTGGGAGGCCAAGGTGGG